TCTCTTGGAAGCTTCAAAGATCCTCCATACACGTGTATAGAGGATGCACCAAAAGCCCCCCAGCTGGCACAGCTGTAAAGTATTCAGAGAGGGCAAAAAGCAAGAAGCAGGCCGGCCAGTTCAAGTGGTCGGCCGACCACTCCCCCTGGTCGGCCGACCAAGGGTCAAAAGGTTCAAGCCCCAAAGCTGGTCATCCATGAAGCCCTTGAAGTTAGCTTTCCAATGCCGCAAACCTTGCATTAAAATTCCTTCTGTGCAAAAAGTTATGCCAGTTTTGGTGAAGCCGTGCAGATTCGATCCAAATGGACTTCAACCAACCATATCTCCCCCCTCCCCGGACTTGTCCTTAGGAGATTCTTGAGTGAAAAATGAATCCCCAGAAGTAAGCTTTCCAATGGTGGTGGTCTCATATCTTAATTCCTCCTGTGCAAAGAGTTATGCCCGTTTCGGTGAAGCCGCGCAGATGTTTTCTCTCCTTCCCGGATTCATGCTGAACCACTTTTGACCAAAAAAACTGGTCGGCCATCTGACTTTCTGGTTTTCCATATGGCCACATTAAAGCCCCAGAAGTTAGCTTTCCAATGGCGCCAACCTCGCATTAAAATTCCTCATATGCAAAGAGTTATGCCCGTTTCGGTGAAGCCGCGCAGATTTGGTCCTATCCGGATCCATGCCGAACTTCTCCCAAACTAGTTTTATTCTCTCCTTTCCTCTTTTCTTCAACTCCAAACCCCTAAAAAAAGTGTTTTGAAAGATTTTTCAAAGATTTCATCTCTCATTCATTCGTTTCTACTTTGTCCTTGTTCGGTTTACCGAAAAGCGCAACATTTGACAAAATGCGAGCCTCGAAACATCGTAGGAACTTCGTTTCTAAAAATATTTTGAAAGAGAGGATTTTAAGGTCTAAAAATCATTCAAAATAGCTTTGGTCCAAAATGGGGTGTAAGGTTGGAATTTGTCTCTCTCTCCTCTTGCCGAAGAAATTAAACCTTTACCCTGCACACCTTTCTCCACCATGTAAACCATCAGTCGCTTCCAAGTCTTAGGGGCGGTCAAAAATGGGGTGTCTACAGATGGTAGCTCGAAAGCTTAGGCAAGCATGCATACAAATTAGCCCATGATCAAGATATAAGGCACAACTCTCCAAAAGCATTGAAAGAGTGAAACATGTGAGAGTATATCTATACTACATGCATGAAATCATGTGAGAGATGAGGCCAAAGCATGCAAACAACTCAAGTAAAACATGCTAGGGACTTTGAAACTCAAAGCTAGTGAGCAAGATTGCACTATGGCTATACAAAGCAAGGCATGCATGACCAAAACTACTTAAAACAGAGTTTAAGCATGGAAAAACATGAGTAAAAGCTTGTTGGAGCAGAGCCAAAATATGCTAAAATGATAGGCCAAAACATCAAGTGAGCTAGGTTAGCATACAAGATTGCACTACAAGTGCCAAAAGCAAGCAACCAATGACCAAACCAACCAAAAACAGAGTTATGGTAGGTCTAAAAAGCCACAAAAATATGCTTGAACTAAGCCATAAAATGATAGAAACACATGCTCATTTGGTAGGCCATCTACATATGCAAACAAGACAAGAGGAGAGGGGACCATCCCCTCCCATTTGAGGCCTCAAAACAAGTTTTCTACCACTAAAATTCCTCTGAAATTCAGTGGTTAAAAGGCCAAAACAAGATGGTTTCAAAAGCTTTAAAGGAAGGCAAGAAGCTTAGCAAATAAGCCACCAAAGAGGGTGAAACACCCTTAACTCCAAAAACACTTTAAAATACCATTTCTAAGCCTTAAAAACAAAGGTTTTTTTAGTTGACAACTAGGCCAAAATCAGCATGAAAAGGTGGCCAAGATTGTGTACAAAAATAAGCTTAAAAAATGGAGAAGCTCACCCTTGAAGCACAGCAGCAAACAGCCAACAAACAGCCACTTTTCTTGAACCAAAACCACCTTTAGAAGCCCAAAACAAGTTCCAAGGGACCTCAGCCCAATGGTGATCAAGTCTTCTTAAGGGTTGACAGGTTGAAGATGGTTGTATGCAAGCCTTCAAGCACAAAATCTTTAGAGAGAGTGAAAGCTAGAGAGAGGATTTAGAGAGAGAGGCTCTCAAACCTTTTGCCAAATTGTTCTCCAATGCTCTCACCCCTCAATATCATAGAGAAGGCTCTCATATATAGCAAAATATCAAGCTTTGGTCGAAATATCTCCAAAAGGGACAGCTGTGCCAGCTGGAAGCAAAATATCTGCAGAAAACTGCACTGTTCCATCTGTGGCCGGCACTGTACCACTGTTGGCCGGCACTTGACCATTGTTGGCCAGAAGCACACTCCCTTGGACAGAAGGGGGCCAGAATTGGCCATTCATGGCCGGCACATGGCCCAAAAATTCCATTCATTGTCATAAATTTCCACCTCTGGTTGGACAGAAAAATCTGCTTTTTGGGCCTGAATTGAGCCGGACATATCTCCTTCATCTGGACTCCTTTTCGGGTCATTCTTGTGCCTAAATTGTAGACCTGGAAGTCTTATTTCCAATGGTGAAGCCTCACTTCAAAATTCCAAGTGTGCAAAAAGTTATTCTCATTTGAGTGAAGACTACTCAGTTTTGATCCTGCTGGGATTCATGCCCAATTGCTTCTTCAACTTGTTTTCTTCTCTCCTCTCCTCCTTTTTTCAACCCCAAACCCCTAAACAAGGTGTTTTGAAAGATTTTTCACAAGATTTCATCTCTCCTTCATTCATTTCCACTTTGTCCTTGTTCGGTTTACTGAAAAGCGCGACATTTAACAAAATGCGAGCGTCGGAACATCGCAGAAGAATTTTCAAAAATATTTTGAAAGAGAGGATTTCAGGGTCTCAAAATCTTTTGATCAAGATAGTTTTGGTCCAAAAAGGGGTGTGAGGTTGGGATTTGACTCTCTCATTGCCGAAGAAATTGAACATTTGCACTGCACAACTTTCATCACCAAATAAACTATCAGTAGCGCCCAAGTCTTAACGGCGGTCAAAAATGGGGTGTCTACACCCTGTCAATGGGCTAGGCAAATAGGCCTCTATCAAACTGTTCCCTGCCCATACTTTCATCCCATTATTCATGAGCAAGTTGGAGCTAGAATTCAATTCAAACATCAAATAGTTGTGGAGGCCCTTTTAGCCCACAATCAAGAACTATTTGATCAATTCAGCTTCAACCACTGCAAAGTCACACCCTTTCTCTCTACAAGATTCAGAGACTGGTGGCTTCTTATGAATGCAGTAATCTTTAATAAAGAAACTCAAATATGCCTCTGGAATGTACATCCTGACAACAAAAAAGGAGTGACCATCAGCATTGGTAAACAACTATCTCCTTCTTACTTTATATTTCTTGTTAAAATTTCTTTTTTGGGTGTAAAATAGTATATATCTCTTCTACATATATACAGCTAAGTCCTCAGTCAAAGCCATTCCTTTGGCTATAGAAATGCCTACTTCCACTATCCAGAAAAGAAAGCATAGGGGTAATCCCTTAAACACCACCAATGCTGAAGGTTTCACACCTTACAACCCAGGTGTGGAGACTGAACAAAGGGTTCAGACTAGAGAAGAAGAACTTCAAAAATTCTTTGCATCTCAATCACAACCAGAAGGTGGTATTTCTCAACCAACATCGGAAGGTGATGCAACACGTGAGAGGAGATCTAAAAGAAGACAAGAGAAACCAGTTCCTCTACCATCTCCGGCTGCACCAGCTTCTTCCTCTTCCAGTGGTGTAGCACTTGTAAGCAGACCTAAAAGAAAGCAAGAACAACCGGTTCCTTCACAAGCTCCTGCTGCACCAGCTTCTTCTTCTTCCAGTAGTTCATCTTTTCGTTCCATAATAGTATGAATCTTACTCATTCTGCCAATTTTGTTATCATTTTAATCATAATGACATTCTATTTTGCTTGTCTAACGTTTTCCTCTTTCTCTTTTATTCAAGATTTACTTTTGGAAATTTCTGCTGTTCAAGAAAGGGTTGCTAATTTAACTGTTGAAGAAAAATTGAAGCAACTATCCAATGAAGAGCGAGAACTTGTTGAACAATTTTTTAATTTACTTGGTCAACCATTGAATGTCTTGGCTCTCTCTCAAACTACAATTTTGACTGACTGTTTGGTAGCCATTGCATCACTAATGCCTCAGCTTTTTGATCCAGACCAAGTACAAATCTTTTAAACCTTCATTTCAGAGCTTCCTCAGCATTTAATGGCTATCAATCAATTTCAGATTGAGCCAAAAACTGTTGAGAATCAAGCTGAGCAAGTGAGGGAAGCAGTGCATGCTTTAACTGAAGCATCTTCTAGATCACAATCCCTTGTTGCTCAATTTAACTCTCTTACAGCAGAAGAAGTTCAGCTAGAAACTCAACTGGCCTACGTGAGAACCCAGAAAGCTGCCATCGAATAAGAGCAAGTCAACATTTCTTAGCAAATTCCAAACCTTCTTGCTCAAGCAAAAAGTGGTTCACTAGCTTTCAAGTAAGCCCAAATCAAGCTTAGGCAAAATAAGCTAAAGCATCAGTCTGCTCTTCAAGCTTGGAGCAGACTCTTAATGTATTTCCAAAGGGATTAGGTCAAATGTAAAAAAATTTCATTATTTGTCCTTCTGTACTTTTGATACAAGTTTAATGAAAATACTTATTACATTTGTTTTTGGCTTTATTATTTTTGTCATATATCTTTGTTTTCATGTGTATGAACTAATGCATTCCCACATGGTTGGATAATACTTCTTTAAATACTTGTCATTAATTATCCTTCTATGTGGCTCACCTTCTAAAGAAGCAAGATGATAGGCTCCTCCTCTAAGAACCTTATGTATTTTAAATGGTCCTTCCCAATTTGGAGACCATTTACCATATTTTGGGCTTTTAAATCCAACTGGTAAAATGGTTTTCCACTCTAATTCTCCTTCAGAAAATAATTTACTCTTAACTTTCTTGTTGTAACTTCTCTCAACTTTCTTTTACTGAGCTACCAAATGATTAAAAGCCACAATTCTTTTTCCTTCTAAATCTTGCAACTCAATCGATGGTGCCTCTGAATATTCATCCATAGGAATATCCAAATGCTTGGCCATTCGATTGGATCTCACTGTTACTTCCAAAGGTAATACAGCATCATGCCCATAAACCAACTCATATGGAGTTGTACCTGTACTATTCCTTTTGGAATTTCTATAAGCCCAAAGCACTTCTGACAAGAGATTATGCGAATCTCTAGGATTGTCTTCAATCATTTTCTTTAAAGTATTTTTGACAATCTTGTTTGTTGCCACGGCTTGTCTATTTGCCTGGGCATAATATGGTGAAGAGTTTAATATCTGAATGTCGTATTCTTTGGCAAACTCTTTAATCTCATCCCCATTGAACACTGTACCTTGATTGACAGTGATAGATTGGGGTAAACCAAACCTATGTATCAAATTCTTTTTCAAGAACTCAATAACTTGGACCTGTGTCACCACTTTTAAAGGTATTGCCTCTACCTATTTAGTAAAATAGTTAGTGGTTACCAATAAGTAAGAATGTGCTTTAGAAGATGCTGGGAAAATTTTTCCAATTAAATCCATTGCCCATCCTCTAAAAGGCCAAGGTTTAACCACTGAATGCAGGCTGGCAGCTAGTATCCTTTGAATATTGCCATGCTTCTGGCAACTCTGGCATCCTTTTGCATACATTATGCAATCTTTTCTAATGGATGGCCAAAAATAACCATACCTGTTAATCAGCCATCTCATTTTATCACCAGCTTGGTGGACTCCACAAATTCCTTCATATGCTTCAACCATAGCTTTCATTTGGTCTAATTTACCAATACAAAGCAGAGTCAAACCATTATGAGCCTTCCTGAACAAATCATGTCCCATGATAACATAGTTTAGGACTTGAAACCTCACTTGCCTACTGCTTTTTTCACTGGGATTCGATAGGTACTTTATTAAAGGGAATCTCCAATCTTCTTCTGTCACATCCAAAGTGAGAATATGTAAGAAATTCCTACACCTATTTTTAAGCACAGAAAAGTTTCTTTTCTAAATTCGAATCACCCTTTCCTGAGCTCCTTTAGGTATTTTTAGTCCAGAAGCTACCTGAGCCATCTCATTAGCCTCTTTATTCTCCAGTCTAAACCTATGTGTGAATGTGGTATGGTCAAAGAAACTAGTTAGCCATTTGACCTCAGTTAAATACTCTTCTAGAGCACCACTGACACATTTGAACTCTCCCAAGACTTGTTTAATGACTAACTGGGAATCTCTAAAAACTTGGAGGCTTCTAATCCTGAATTCTATAGCCAATTCTAAACCAATTATCAATGTGGAGGCTTCTAATCCTGAATTCTATGGCCAATTCTAAACCAATTATCAATGCTTCATATTCAGCTTGATTACGAGACTGTACATGTTGTGCTTCCAACTGATATGCAAACTGATACATTTGCTTATTTGATACAATCAACACAATACCTGCTCTAACTCCTTCATTTGTTTTTGAACTATCAAACATTAATTTCCATGGTTCATTTTCCACCAAATTGACCTCATATAGGTCTAAATCGATAGAAGTGCCAGGGTGTTCCATTAAGAAGTCAGTCAAAGCTTGCCCTTTGACTGCTTTTTGTGGCACATATTTGAGGCAATACTCAATTAATGCTAATATCCATTTACCCTGTCTCCCCCTTAAAATTGGTTTAGACAACATATATTTAATAACATCTGTTTGTGCTATTACAAACACTTCTAATGACAGCAAATAATGCCTCAATTTAATGGCTGCAAAATAAAGTGACAAACACAATTTCTCAACAGAATTATATCTAGTTTCAGCATCATTTAACCTTTTACTTATGTAGTAAATGGCTTGTTCATGACCCATATCATTTTCTCGAGCCAATAAATAGCCAATCGACAGGTCAGAGGCTGATATATACAATTTCAAAGGCTTTCCTGCTATTGGTGGCATAAGCACTGGAGGGTTTGTCAAGTATTTTTTAAGCAAGTCAAAAGCTTCTTGATGGCACACTTCCCATTTAAACTCATGGTCTGACTTAATTTTCACTAAATAAGAGAATGCTAAAGTTTTCTTAGCCAAATTAGCTATGAATCTCCTAAAAAAATTTACTTTTCCAAGAAAACTTTGCAACTCTTTCTTGTTGGCTGGAGGTCTTGCCCCCATAATGGCTTTGGATTTATTAGCATCCACTTCTATTCCTTTGTGATGTACTAAAAAGCCTAAGAAATTTCCAGTAGATACCCCAAATGCACACTTTAAAGGGTTCATTTTGAGTTTGTATGTCCTCATTCTTTGAAATGTCTACTGCAAATGTTCTAGATGCTCATCAAAACTGTGAGATTTGATGGCTACATCATCTATATAAACTTCTAAATATTTTCCAATAAAATCATGGAAAATGAAGTTCATTGCTCTTTGACAAGTTGCTCCTGCATTCTTTAATCCAAAAGGCATGACTACCTATTCAAATGTCCCTAAGGCACCAGGACATCTAAATCCTGTCATATGTGTATCCTCTGGGTTAATAAAGATCTGATTATACCCAGCATGTCCATCCATAAAGGACAAAACCTTGCTCTTGGCTGCTGAATCAACTAACAGATCAGCCACTAGCATAGGATATTCATCTTTAGGAGTTGCTAGATTCAAATTTCTAAAATCTATACACACTCTTAACTTACCATTCTTCTTTATTACAGGGACAATATTAGACAACCATTCAACATACCTGGCTGTTCTAATAAAACCTGCATTAAACAACCTTTTGATTTCTACCTTAACCAATAAGGTGACTTTATTAGTCATCCTTCTTGGGGGTTGTTTATGAGGAATAAAATTTCCTTTAATTCGGAGTCTATGCTCCACCAATGTTCTATCTAATCCAAGCATTTCTTCTTAAGTCCATGCAAAGTAATCCACATACTCAGAAAGCAAACTAACTAGTTTGCTCTTACATTCATTAGATAGATTAGCATTTACATAGATGGTCCTCTTACAGGCCTTATTTCCTAAATTATATTCCTCTAAAGGGTCCTGCATATTTGCCTTGAGATCATCAAGTTTGGCAGGAGCAGCCTTCAGATGTTCCAGTTGCACCTCTTTATAACTCAGAGGGCTACTGTCGATTACACATTTTTCCCAAGAACAATTAGACAAACAGTTAGGGCTAAACTTACTTTCTAAAAAAAAATAAAAAAGCCTAGAAAAAGTAGATCTAATTATATCAGTTGTCTCATCCAGCTTGTTTTCTTCTGTTACTTGCACTTGCATCACCCCTCATCTTCAGCAATTTCCTCTATCATAAGCCTCTTCTGCTTTTGCATCAGGCTTGGTTTGGCCAATTCCTGGCCTATCTGCTTAAAACCTTCCTCAATGAAAGCCTTGAACCCTTCAGTTGTTAAGCCTTTCCCTTGCGATTTGACTTCTTCTTTATCAATCACAATTGGGCCCAAATCCTCATCATACAGCACAACCTTTATGTTGTTAACATCGGCAACAAAAGGATTTGCATCAGCCCAAAAGATTTCCATTCCTTTTTTATTCTGACCACCACCAGTTAGAAAAATTAATGCTTGGTGCAGAGACGAAGGTACACACCTATTAAGGTGAATCCAATCCCTACTTAGGAGCACATTGTAATTAGAAGTGGAGTCTATTACAAAGAAAGTTGTCCCCATTACTCTGGAACCAACTTGAAGCTGTAAAGCTACTACTCCTCTAGCCTCAGATGACCCACCAGAAAAATTACTTATATTTACCTAAGTAGGAAGTAAGTCATCAACAGACTTACCAATAGCCTTCAGTGTCCTAGATGGAAGAATGTTGACAATAGCTCCATTGTCTACCAACACCTTTTCCACTGGTACTCCATCCAAAAAAGCCTTGACATACAGAGGCCTCAGATGCTTCATAAGCTTATCTTCTGGTTTTTGAAGCATAACTTTCTCTCCATCGACAAACTTAATGACCTCGATTGATCTCAATGGCTTGGCCTGTGTCTCAACTATTGCGATCTGAACAGTTAGTTCTGTCAAATCTTCAACATCACCTGCCAAGTTATCTGGTCGGTTTGGTTTGGCCTGAAACCTTTGTGGGATGGCCATAATCATGTTGCACTCCTTGAAAGGGGGCAAAGAACCAAAATGAATGGTAGTCAATTTTTCTCCAAAGTCACCACCAGAGCTGTCTGATTTCACTTCATCTTCTTCAACCCTTTCATTAACATTCTTGTTATCAATGACCATCTCCTGATCTTGATCATCTTTCATTACCACATCTTTTTTGTTATTGTTATCTTCTTCATCAGACATCAAATCTTTCTCTAACTGTTTCAGCTTTTGCCTTAACAAATCCTTCTCTGAAAGTTTACCCACAGGTCTATCTTCAGTCTTTTCTAGTCCCATTTTTCTTTTCAAAATCTGAACTGGTTGCACTGGAGAGGTCTTAGAAGTTAAACCTTTCATTTCTTTTCCTTTAGCAGCAGGAACCAATCCTTCCTTAGTCCACACTAAGTCTTGTCTTCCAGATGGTTTATCCCCTGCAGCAGTGGACATCATAGCATGAAACCTTCTTTGTTCTCTCCCTTTCTGAGTTCTTGTTTCTCTCATTGGTCTCCAACTACTCATAGGAAACTTTGGATGTGACACTCCTTGCTATCCTAAATGGGATGGTATTGGAGGTTTCACCATTCTTGGCTGGACTAGTTGCATTTTTGGCCCCACTCTTAGGCCATGATACTGTTGCTAATATCCTCCAGATGGTCTTGCGAATTGTTGATGCCCTCTATATGGCCTTCCAAATTGTTGATGGCCACTATGTGATGCACCAAATTGCTGCTGCTGGCCACTATATGGCCGAGTCAGAACCTTTGCGTTCCCATAAGGCTTAGAACCCTTATGTTGATTGAGCATAGCTCTCACATTACTAGCTTCAACCAAGAATGGATGAACAGGTGCTCCCTAAAATAGAAATGAAGCATCATCCTTACCATAGTTCTTTATAGGTCCAAAAATTCCAGGATTTGTTCCATCATAGAACAAACAATCATTATCAAAAATTTGTAAATCTCCACTTCCCATAATATTAAACCTCAGCCCAACATCTTTTCCAATTTGTTGAATCCCATTAATCACAATAGTCTTAGTTTTTTCTTTCTCAGAACCACATCTGAAATAGATGAAACTCTCACTTGGTTCCTTTTGAACTCTTTTCCCTTTTGCTTTTTTTGCCATTTTCTCCAGCCTTTCCTTGTGAAGTTTTTCTAACTCCACCAACAGAACTCTAGGATTTTTCCCTTTTTCCTTCTGATCAGTAGCCACCATATTAATTTCCACCACACTAGGTGTAGATGTCCCCGAACGTCCCAGGAGGAAATTCCCCCCGTTTTGTTCATTTGGGGTCACTACAGTTCAGGACTCAATGTCACGGTCCTGTATCTAATCTCGCAGAGTGCATTGCAAGACCGATGAAATCATCGAAGAGTCCAAATCCGACAAATCATTTTTTAAAACAGATTTTTTAAAAGAAGTGCCAAACATGGACTACTTTTCCAGATACAGAGTCGCCACCTAAATATTTTATTTTTGGGAAATTTAGGAAACCCTGACTCGTTGCCTAAGACCACGTGTTCGTCATCACCAACGCTGTCTCAGTTCGGGAACTTGGGTACGATTGGGGAAGGTCACGTCGTGAGCACCCCCGCTCACCCGATCAAAGATCGGCCTCTACTAACCATGATATCTAGTTTTGAAAATATTATGCGTTCTTATTCCGGTTATTAGCTAAGATTTACTATGTGATGCGCACAGCATACAAGTATAGACTGGATCGCCTGAATTGGAACAAAACATTTCATGTTTGTTTATTTTGAAAATGGTTTGATGGTGCCACCCGCAAGTAGGCTAAGACGTGGATTTGCCACCTTCGGGTGGGCTTAGTAAACATGATTTTGCCACTATCTAGTGGGCTTAAAACTCACAATTAATGAATTGTTCCAATTCAAATAACCCAACCTTCACCCATAGGCACTCAGGCAGATATATCACATAAGCAAATAGCCTCATGGTAAGCATGCTATCATGGCAGTCAC